TGCAGAAGTCAAACGTGACTTGTATTCATCTTTTGTTATCGGTATATATGGAGTATTACAATTTTAATACTTTTTTTCCTTTCTTAAAATGTGCATACATTTTTTTTGGCACCCTCTGTATATATTTCAAAAGTATATTTTGTGGGATCATGAAATTAACACATGCTTTAAAAAAAAAATTAAGATAAAAAGTATCCATAACCCTGTATCCTGGTAATATTTTGACACATATCCTTAGAGATATATACTTTATTAAGGAGAGGTGGATGTGAGGAGAGTGAGAGGAGAAGGCCATTTAACAACAGGCTTTTCTCAATTAACATATATTGGGAACATCTTTCTATATCAACAAATAAAGACACTACCATTTGGGGGGATGGGGTATTCCTTTTTATTCTACCATATAGATGGACCATGATTTCTTTAACTATGTCAGTATTAATGAATATTTAATATACTTTGCTTAAAACATATTCCTAGAAGTAAAAATCATGATTTACACATATATATGTTAGTGCTGCCAATTTCTAAAAATATACCCATTTTGTGTTAAAAAACAAAATCATAATCTCTCTGAATACTTTTTCTGAGAAGACACACCAGTAAATAAAACAATGATAAAATTTCTTTGAAGAATTATACTTGGGCCAAAAAAAATTCTTCCAATTTAAAAACTTGCATAAGCAAATAAAAAGATTAATTTTAAGAAGGAGTTATATTAATATCTTCCACACTCCTCGATTTATCTACTGTTATAGTTTGATATTTAAAGTAAAGAACAAGACAAAGTAAAAACGCACGAAACCGCCTTCAGAGGACATTATAGACACAAAGAAAGCATTTCTTTAAAATAAAAAAGCTAGCATGACATCATAACCCTTTATGGGCTTAAGAGCCCAGGTTTCATTTCTCAGGGCTGTCGGCTGTATCCACCCACTAGATATGTATACAGGAAACACCTAAGGTGCTAATTGGCAAACAGGCTGCCTCCCACAAAACAAAAAAACAAACAAAAACAACAAGGGTATTGTTTGGGGGGGCATTTTTCCCCTGGTGGATTTAAAGATCTCAGCAGGCTATAAACAGTTAATTTTACAAATTAGATGTAAACTTGAAAGTTAATCTTTCTATAATCTGTTCATTTGTTGCTCTGGGATTTCTGCCCATTTTCTGAAACTATTACAGCAATTTGGGACAAACTGAAGTGGGACAATTTGAAGCCGATTTATCAAAACCAAACAAAACCTACCATCGGGCCACAAAAGAACACTGTAATCAAATTTCCCCAAATAAAACATTTTAAAAACCTGAATAACAGTTCATCTTTAAAATATAGAGAACGTAACTGACTGATCTCCACACACAAATAACATTAATTCGGTTCCACACACATGCACACATCACTGCAGTGACATCACACTGCAGAGACTTCCACCCCTGACAGCAAGTCCCACAGCCCAGGAGGTTTGGGGGTCAAGTTACCTGTTGCATTTTCTTGTATTCGCCCACTCTGGCATAAGCCATGAAGAGGTGAGAGTGATACTCCTCACTATTGGGAACTTTCTTCACAGCTGCCTCATAAAGTTTTGTAACTAACTCCGCTAAGATAAAGAGAAATAGATTGTCTTTCATTACCGAAGTTTAACTTAAATCTTAACAGCATTTAATTTTTTTCCCATTTGGAGGAAATAGATGTCCCCTATCATTAAGGAAGAAGAAAGTATTTACTTTGCCTCATCCGATCATTACTCTTCTCTTGGTTAGGTGTATTTAGTGAAATGTGGAATGGGTCAGGCCTCCCCATCCCATTCACAATATACAGGACCCTCCAGGATCCAGCCTGTCTCCTTCCTACCGTAACTCTTTCCCCCAGCACTCTATGCTCTAGCCACATTAAACTGTTTGAGTTCTACTAGATTCCCTGTGCTGTATCATACCTCCATGCCTTTACACTGTTCCCTCTGCCTAGACTCTACTTTGCTCTCTTCTCTACTCAGTGAACATCATCCAAGACCCACTTCGAATGCAAGCCTCTCCACAAGGAACTCTGCAAATTCAAATGTAATCCTTCCCTGAACACCACCTCTGCTCCTTCACTGCTTCCTTTTGTCATCTTTAAATCTTTTAAATAACTCTCATAGCATTTATTAATATGTAATGCATAATCTATTTCCCTTTATAGACTTTGAGTAACATCTTTCATCTTTGACTTTGATACAATATGTACTTGTCATACAGAAACACTCAACCAATACTTGTGGAATAGATAAATGATTTTTTAAAAACACTGGGAGTGAATCCATATCCCTAAATCAACGTCGTCCCTAAATAACTACAACCACTTGGATATCAGATGAAAAATGCAAGTCACAGAACTCATATAGTATGAACCCATTAATATTAAGTTCAAAATTAAGCAAAACTAATAATGCATTACTTAGAAAAACAAATGTGATAAAGATTTAAAGAAAAGCAAGAGAATAAAAACTATTCAGGGCAGCAAATACCGTATTTGCCGGCGTATAAGACAATTTTTTGGCCCTGAAAAATATGCCTCCAAGTGGGGGGTCGTCTTATACGCCAGGTACACTTCAGATAGACTGCC